CTGCCCCCCAGGAGCCACCGGCCCTGACCTGGCCCCGCGGCCGGGCTCCCGCGTTGCGCCAAGCAGCCCGAGCGGGAGAACTGCGCGCGGACGGTGAGGAGCAGGTGGGGCGGGCCGGTTAACCCCGCGGGACGTTAACCGTGAGTCCCGGGTCTCAGGGCCGGCGACCCACCGAGGGTCCTTTGGCCTGGCCGCTCCCTCTATGCATGCGGCCGCCGGCCCGGACAACTTTGAGAGTCTCGGGGACACTGCGGTTCCTCATTGGCAGTGTGCGGGCAGAAATGGGTCCTGGAGCGAGTGATCAACGGTCACTGCCCCGACAGAAGTGACAACTTCATATTTTCTTGTCTGGTTATTTGGAGTCCTTCGCAAAATGTGACCTGATCTTGGGACTGGAGGTCTCTCACAGCCAGAGAAGGGATATGCAATTTGTGGCGGGAGATCCCGATAAGTAGAGTGAGAACGACGGAATGCAGAAACCTTACATTTTTAGTTCCTGTCTTGGTTGACTAATTCGTTTTGTTTGTTTCAACAGTGTTCCCATTCACTGTAGAAAAAAACACAAGCGATTGGCGGAGGATGATGAGTAAGTTTCAAGGACCATTTGCCCTCTCTGTGGTGGTTGTTAGTTTAACACGTGTATCCTATTACATGGAAAAGGTAAACCATATTGTATCTCTTTAAACTAGTGACATTGTTTGCCTGTTAGGGGCAGAAACTGGATGTCAAGCAGGTAGAGGAAAACTCACTCTGTAACCAATGTAGTGTTTGGATTTTAAACTGTCATTATAGACACAGTTAAAACAACAACAACAAAATCAAAGGATATATATTGGAAAGGGTTTGTGTTCTTGAGAGAGGTAACCTTGTAGCCTGTTTCTTACTTTTAGTTCAGAAACTTAATATGGCCTTGTTTGCTTCAGTTGTTTACTTCTGTAGCTAGATACCTATTCACACTTAAATGGGGGGGGGGAGGTTGTTTCCTTTTACTCTCTTACAGCTTATTCCAAGGTCTACCTGTTTTGTTTGTTTGTTTGTTTGTTTGTTTTAAAATACAGCCTCAACCCGGGCTTTGGTGGACCACGCCTTTAATCCCAGCACTCTGGGAGGCAGATGGATCTTTGTGAGTTCAAGGCCAGCCTGGTCTACAAAGCTACACAGAGAAACCATGTCTCGAAAAATCAAAAAAATAAAAATAAAAAATAAAAGACAGCTTCACTATGTAACTTCCCTCTGAGAGGCAGGAACTCACTATGTAGAACAAACTGGTCTCAAACTTAAGAGATCTGCTTGACTCTGCCTGTTGAGATTAAACACGAGCATGTCTCAATACCTGCTTTTTTTTTCCTTATTCATTATTATTATGTATATAAACAAATGGCATAGTGGGTATGTGGAAGTTAGAGGACATTTGGAAGTTGGTTCTTTCCCATCATGTAGTTCAAGATCAAGTTCAAGTTGTCAGTTTGGTGGCAAGCATCTTTAGTCGTTGAGTCATCTTGTTTTGTTTTGTTTTTGGTTTTTTTTTTTGCCTTTTTTTTTTTCCTGTGCTGAGGATCAAACCCTGGGCCTGGAAGATGCTTGACAACTATTCTCCCATTGAGCTTCATTTGTTCTAAGCACTGTCCTGGATAGTTTAACTGTGTGTATGATCCTACCCCCACTCCCCTAGTAGAAACTGAGTTCTCTTCTGAGAAAGATGTCTCACTCCAGTTATCCCAGCACTCTGAGGCTGAGATCACCGAGAGTTTGAGGCCAGCCCTGGGCTATACAAAACAAAAGCCAATAATCTCAGCTCTTGGAGGAAGGTGGAAGCAGGAGGATTGGGCATGCAAGATCATCTCAGTAACAGTACTGACTTGTGGCCAGCTTGGCATGTATGAGACCCTGGCTTAAAAATAATTAAAGAGCCCAGCGATGGTGGCTCACACCTTTAATCCCAGCACTCTGGGAGGCAGAGGCAGATGGATCTCTGTGAGTTCAAGGCCAGCCTGGTCTCCAGAGCAAGTGTCAGGATAGGCTCCAAAGCTACACAGAGAAACCCTGTCTCGAAAAAACCAATAATAATAATTAAAAGAAACTTTGAATTGACTAGGTTTGTTTATGCTTAGACTAATACTTTAAAAAAAAAAAGATACTTGAAGGTTACCTTGTTTTTTGTGAGTGAGTGAGTGAATGAAGGTAGTAGACTCAGGTAGGTGGGGACATAGGGTCAGATTTCCAAGTATCTCCAAGAGGAAGAACCTGGGTTTGATTAATTCTAAGGTCTCTCTTAAGTACCAAGACATCTAGGAAGTAGATGGGGTATGTTACCCTAGGAGAAAGGGAGATCCCACCATTAGTCAGGGACAGATAGCTAAAGGCAAGAAATTTGTGCTAATGGCTTCTTCTTGTAGTGCTTGAAGCATACTTCAGTAGATAGGTGTGTTTGCTGTAAGGAAAGAGTGACAACCAGACGCTTTCTCATGTGGGTCAGGGAATGTAATGCTGACGCAATGACAGAATGTAGTTGGGGTGGAAATGCTGCTTTGTCTTTTTAGTGTGTGGGGAGTATTCTGGCTGTGTGTGTGTCTGTACCAACCAGGTATATGCCTGGTGCCCTTAGCGGCCAGGACAGAGTGTAGAATTCCCTGGAACTGGAATTATAGACATTTATGGGTTCTGGGAATTGAACCTGTATCCACTGTCATGACTGCTGAGCCACCTCTCCAACCCTTCTTTTTTTTTAATTGCTTTGCTTCCTGCTTGATCTTTCCTACAGATTTGTTTTTCCTTTAAAAGGTTAAAGTCTTGGAGGTATTGCATAAATTGGTAAGAAATAGAAGAAAATTTCTCAGAGAAGCTATTGGGGACACATGTTCTAGCTGTAGAATAGAGATTTTGTTTTTGGTTTTTCGAGACAGGGTTTCTCTGTGTAGCTTTGGAGCCTATCCTGGCACTCGCTCTGGAGACCAGGCTGGCCTTGAACTCACAGAGATCCACCTGCTTCTGCCTCCCAGAGTGCTGGGATTAAAGGTGTGCGCCATCAATGCCTGGCTAAATACATCCTTTTTAAGACTAAAGAAATTTGAGCTGGGCTTGGTAGCATATATCCTTTTAATTGACTAGAGAAATGACTTAAATTTCATCTGTAATAGTTTTTAATTTTTTTTCTTCCCTCTTTTCCTACCGCTTTCTGCCTTCCTCCTCTTAGGTGTCCCATAAGAAAGAAGAGACTGACTGAAGCTGAACTCTGCGTGGTTGCTAATGAATGGGTTCTTGACACACACCAGGGTATAGAAGGTCATGGGGTAAACACATGTCCTAGTGGCCTTTCTGTACCCAGTATGCTAGATGCTATCTGTGAAGAAATGGATCAAACAACTGCAGAACCACAGTGTGAACTTGCCCGAAGGAGGCTTCAGGAGATTGAGGACAGGTACTGACAGTGTACATTATGAGGCTTGCTGCTGCTCCTGTCACAGTTCTCTTAAGATGGTCAGGAGCATCATTTGATGATTCTAGAGATCAGGAAATGAAAAAAATTTTTTTTCTTGTTTTTATTGAGCTATACATTTTCCCCCCCCCTCGGACTATAGGCTGTTTATCCTTTGCTTTATGGCTGATACCACTTATGAGTGAATATATACTGTGCTTGTTTTTCTGGGTCTGGGTTAACTAATCAGGATGTTTTTTTTTCTAGTTCCATCCATTTTCCTGAAAATATCAGGATGTGTTTGTTATTTACCACACTCCATTGTGTAAATGTACCAAATTTTCTTTATGCACTCTTTGGTTGAGGGGCATCTAGGCTTTGGCTATTTCAAATAATGCTATGAACATAGTTGAGCAAATGTCCTTGTGTTATGAGTGTGCATCCTTTAGGTACATGCCCAAAAATGGTGTTGCTGGGTCTTGAGGTAGATTGATTCCCAATTTTCTGAGAAACATACTGATTTCCAAAGCACTGTACAAGTTTGCACTCCCACCAACAATGGAGGAGTGTTTCCCGTACTCCATATCCCCTCCAGCATAAGCTGTCATCACTGTTTTTTGATCTTAGCCATTTTGACAGATCTAAGATGGTATCCAGAGTTGTTTTGATTTGCATTTCTCTGATGGCTAAGGATGTTGAGCAATTCCTTAAATGTCTTTCATCCACTTGAATTTCTTCTGTAGAGAATTCTGTTTAGGTCTGTACACCATTTTTTTAATTGGATTATTTGGTCTTTTGATGTATAGTTTCTTGAGTTCTTTGTATAGTTTAGAGATCAGTCCTTTGTCAGGTGTGGGGGTTGGTGAAGATCTTTTCCCATTTGTAGGCTGCTGTTTTGTTGACAGTGCTTTGCTTTACAGAAGCTTCTCAGTTTCAGGAGGTCCCCTTTATTGATTGTTTCTCTCAGTGTCTGTGCTGCTGGTGTTATATTTAGTTAGTGGTGTCCTGTGCCCATGTGTTCAAGGCTCCCACTTTCTCTTCTATGAGGCTCAGTGTGGTTGGATTTATGTTGAGGTCTTTCATCCATTTGGACTTGAGTTTTGTGCATGGTGATAGATATGGATCTATCTGCAATCTTCTACATGTTAGCATCCATTTATGCCAGCACCATTTGTTGAGGATACTTTCTTTTTTCCATTGTATAATTTTAACTACTTTCTCAAAAATCAGGTGTTCATGGGTATATGGGTTGACATCAGGGTCTTTGATTCAATTCCATTGGTCCACCTGTCTGTTTTTATGTCAGTACCAAGCTGTTTTCATTACTGTAGCTCTATAAGAGAGCTTGAAGTCAGGGATGGTAATGCCTCCACAAGTTCCTTATTGTACAAGATTGTTTTGCTATCCAGGGATTTGAGGTCTGTGAAGAATTGTGCTGGGATTTTAATGGTGATTGCATTGAATCTGTAGATTACTTTTGGTAAGATTGCCATTTTTACTATGTTAATCCTGTTTATTCAGGAGCATGGGAGATCTCTCCATTTTCTGATGTCTTCAAATTCTTTCTTCAGAGAGTTAAAGTTCTTGTCATACAGGTCTCTCATTTGTTTGGTTAAGAGTTACCCCAAGATTTATGTGTAGGAGTGACTTTTTTAAGTTAATTTTGTATCCTACCACATTACTGAAGTTGTTTATCAGTTGTAAGAGTTCTCTGGTAGAATTTTTGGGTTTCTTATTTGTAAGTATATGTATATCGAAAGTTTGATTTCTTTTTTTCCAGTTTATATACCCTGATCTTTTGTTGTCTTACTGCTCTAGCTAGAACTTTGAGTACAATATTGGATAGGGAGAGAGTGGATAGCATTGTCTTTTTCCTGATTTCAGTGGGATGGCTTTGAGTGTCTCCATTAGTTTGATGTTGGCTCTTGACTTGCTGTATATTGCTTTTATTATGTTTAGGTATGTTCTTTATATTCCTGCTTTCTACAAGACCTTTATCATGAAGGGGTATTGGATTTTGTCAAAGGCTTTTTTTTTTTTCCTTTCACTTTGTTTATATGATGGATTACATTGATGGATTTTCATATGTTGAATCATCCATGTATCTCTGGGATGAAGCCTATTTGGTCATAGTGGATGATTTTTTGATGTGTTTAGATTCAGTTTGCCATTATTTTCTTGAGTGTTTTTACAACTATGTTCATGACGGAGATTGGTCTGTAATTCTCTTTCTTAGTTGTGTCTTGGTGTGGTTTGGGTCTCAGGGTAACTGTATCCTCGTAAAAAGAGTTTGGCAAGCCAGGAGATGGTGGCTCATGCCTTTAATCCCAGCACTCAAGAGGCAGAGGCAGGCGGATCTCGAGGCGGAGTTTGAGGCCAACCTGGCCTATAAAGCTACACAGAGAAACACTGGGGTTGGGGGGTGGTAATGTTCCTTCTGTTTCTATTGTGTAGCACAATTTGAGGAGTATTGCTGAGTTGTTCTTTGAAATTCTGGAAGAATTCTGTGCTGAAACCCATTGGCCCTGGGCTTTTTTGTTGTTGTTGGGAGACTTTTGATGACTTTCTATTTCTTCAGGGGTTATAGGTCTATTTAATTTGTTTATCTGTTCTTGATTTAATTTTGGTATGTGATACTAACCCAGAAAATTGTCCTTTTTTAAGTTTTCAAGTTTGTGGAGTACAGGTTTTTGAAGTATGACCTGATGATTCTCTGGATTTCCTCAGTGTCTGTTGTTATATCCCCTTTTCATTTCTGGCTTTGTTAATTTGGATATTCTCTCTGCCTTATGATTAGTTTGGATGAAGGCTTGTCTATCTTGTTGATTTTTCTTGAACCAACTCTTTGTTTCATTGAGTCTTTATATTGTTCTCTTTGTTGCTATTTTATTGATTTCAGCTTTCAATTTGATTATTTCCTTCCATCTACTCCTCCTCGGTGAGTTTGCTTCTTTTTGTTCTAGAGCTTCAGGTGTTTGTTAATTTGCTAGTGTAGGATTTTTCTAGTTTCTTTAGGTAGGCATTTAGTGCTATGAACTTTCCTCTTAGCACTGCTTTCATTGTGTCCCATAAGTTTGGATATGTTGTGCGGTCATTTTCATCAAATTTTAGGAAGTCTTTAATTTCTTTTTTATTTCTTCCTTGGCCCAGTGGTGATTCAATTTCTGTGAGTTTGTGAGCTTTCTGCAATTAGTGTTGTTGAATTCTACCTTTAAATCATGGTGACCTGATAAGATACAGGGAGGCATTATTCTTTTTTTTCTTTTCTTTTTTTTGGGGGGGGTATCTGATGAGGTTTGCTTTGTTGCCGAGTATGTGGTTGATTTTAAAGAAGGATCTATGGGGTGCTGAGAAGGTATATTCTATTGTATTTGGGTGGAATGTTCTATAGATGTCTGTTAAGCCCATTTGAGTCAATAACATTTTTTACTTCCTTTATTTCTCTGTTAAGTTTCTGTCTAGGAGACCTATCCAGTGGTGAGAGTTGGGTGTTAAATTCTCCCACTTTTAGTGTGTGGTGCATCTGTTAGTCTGTCTTTCTATAGTCTGATTGAGTCCATAATTAAGGGATATTAATGACAAGCAGTTGCTAGTTGTTATTTTTGGTGGTGGTAGTATTGAGTGTTATATGTGTTTCCCTACTTTGGGAATTGCTGCTCTGGGATTGTCTGTTGCCTGTATTTTTGTGGGTGTGACTAACTTCTTTGGGTTGGAGTTTTCCTTCTAGTACTTTCTATAAAACTGGATTAGTGGGTAGGTATTGTTTAAATCTGGTTTTGTCATGGAATATCTTACTTTCTGCATCTGTGGTGATTGATAGCTTTGCTGGGTATAGCAGTCTGAGCTGGCATTCATGTTCTCTTAGTGTCTGCATAATACCTGACTAGGACCTTCTGGCTTTCATTGTTAACATTAAGAAGTTGGGTGTAATTCTGATAGGTCTGCCTTTATATGTTACTTGGCTTTTTTCCTTTGCAGCTCTTAATATTCTTTATTCTCTATGTGTTTTGATTATTATGTAGAGAGGGTTTTTTTTTTGTTTTGGTCCAGTCTATTTGGTGTTCTGTAAGCTTCTTGTACTTTCATTGGCATGTCCTTCTTTAGGTTGGAAAAGTTTTCTTCTATGATTTTGTTGAATATATTTTCTGTGCCTTTGAACTGGACTTCTCCTTCTATCTCTGTTATTCTTAAGTTCAGTCTTTTCATGGTGTCCCAGATACTTTGTGTTAAGAACTTGTTGGATTTAACATTTTGTTTGACTGATAGAATACCTCTATGGTATCTTGAATGCCTGGGATTCTATCTCCCATCTCTTGTATTCTGTTGTTTATGCTTGCATCTGTAGTTCCTGGATGATTTACCCAAATTTTCCATTTCAAGAGTTCCCTCAGTTTGTGTTTTCTTTATTGCCTCTATTTTAGTTTTTACATCTTGAACTGTTTCCTTCACCTGTTTGATTGCTTTTTCTTGTTTTTCTTTAATGGATTTGTTGATTTCTTCCCGTTTTTTTGTTTGTTTGTTTGTTTGTTTGTTTGTTTGTCTTTTCCTTTTAAGGGAATTTTTCATTTCCTCTTTAAGGGTTTCAATCTTCATAAACTTAATTTTTTTAGGTCATTTTCTTTTGTTTTATCTGTGTTGGGATGTTCAGGTCTTGCTATTGTAGAACCACTAGTTTCTGGTGGTGCTGTATTGCTCTTTATGTCGTTTAGAGTATTCTTACCCTGTTGTCTACCCATGTCTTCCTCCAATCAGTACACGTGGAGCCTGTGCTTCAGGGGATCCCTCTTCCCCCAATCCGTAGAGTTTTGGGGGCTGTGGCTCCGTTGAACTCTCCTTCAAGTGTAGGGGGTGCAGAGTCTCTGGTGATGGCTCCTCTGGCTGCAGGCAGAGCTGAGGCTTAGGTTCTGGTGGTCTGATAGTTTCTGGAGGCCCCTGCTGTAGCACTGATGCTGTGTCAGGGGTGTGGTCCTGAAAATACTAGGTGGTAAAGCGAGCTCTTATAGCTTAATTCAGCATTTTACTGGAAATGTCAGGGTCAGCTCTCTAGGACACATTTTTTAAACTTGACTCCATTCTAAAAGTTTTCTGTTATATGGATTACTGAATAACTCTTCCCACTCAGTGGGAAAAAGTAGCCTTATGTGGTCACTTTTCTCTGAGGTATACCTTATTATCTTTCACTATAGTGCCTGTGATTTTACTCTTTGGATTTTAAACTTTGTTCATTTACTGCAAGAACACCAATACCTTGACTTATTCTTTTTCTGTCTCTGCTTCTGCTTCATTATTTATTTAGGATAATTGACGAAGATGAAGAGGTTGAAAGTGACAGAAATGTTAGCCACCTCCCAAGCCTTGTCCTTTCTGACACGATGAAAACGGGTTTGAAGAGGGAATTTGATGAAGTCTTCACAAAGAAGATGATTGAGTCTATGTAAGTTATGGTGCATAACATTTCCCCTTAACTGATCCAATATTGGGAAAGGGTTGGTGTCAAAAGCCCTCCTCTTAAATTCTAACAGGAGGAATAGTAACCACATTTTGAAACCTCTGGTTTATCTGTTTCTCCAAGTTACTCAGACACAGCATGGAGATAGATGTAGGTAACAGAAAATGACATGTCAAATGAGTAACAATTGAAATAGTTATCACAAAGCCTTTTGGGGCCATTCTGGAGTATTTAGCTCCTTTTGTTTTGGGGAGTGGAAATGTTAAGTAGCCTAGACTAGGTTCATATTCGCTCTTGATTTAAAGCATAAATTAAGGGGGAAAAATGACAAAAGATAGCATAGTTTTAAGATGAAAACAAAAAATAGGGACTAGGGAAGTGACTCATGGTAGAGTACTTGCCATGCACCTGGGTAAAGTCCTGGGTTCCATCCCCAGCACCACAAAAAGAAAAACAGAAAATACACCCATAGTTTATTGAGCTCAATTAACTGGTTTCTTAAATTTTTAGAGTAGAATTACCAGCAAATAGGCAGGCTTAGGGTGGGGAGTAGTGACCGGGAGGAGAGGTTGAGAGAGGAAACAGGGCGGCAAACACAGGAGCCAAGCAGAGTGGCAGACTGGAGAGAGCTCTACCTAGTGTGGAAGATCTCAGTTCTCATTATCTGCTGTGCAAAATAGCAGGCAAGCCATAAAGTACATGGAAGAACTGCCTGGGAAACCTAGACTTAGTACTCGCCGAGGTTAAGTTTAGTCTGAAAAGGGCTCTTGGGACCCAGACCTCAGTGGTGCTGGACACATGCGAAGTTCAGCTACTGCTTGTGGGAGACCCAGAAGGTTGGGCCCTGGCTTAAGTTTATAATTAACTATTCAGCCCTGAGGGTGTGTAAATAGTGTAGCCACTATGTATACAGATAACTTTGCCCTTCTGCTCAAAGTAGTGTCTGCTGCTCTTACTAGTTTTCCAGAACTGGGCCTTTGAGAATATTCTTCATTGTAATTTTTTTTTTTGTTTTATTTCTGGGTCCCAGCAGATTTTCCTATATTCAGGATAAGGAATTGTTTCCTATTTTGGAGATGAGACGGGTTCTCATGTAGCCCAGGCTAGTCTAGAACTTCTGGCCCTCCTGCCTGCACATTCCAGGTACTGGGATAACAGGCACTGCTCCCAGCTATGGATGGAAAAAATACATGATTATACATATCTAGTGTAATTGTTTTGGTTTAACTGCAAGGTATTCTACTTCATAACTATATGAAACAAGTCATCAGAAATTAGTATGCTGGTTCAGGATTTCACTTTTATTTATAATGATTTAATATATAATAGTCACCCACGAGGCTAGGGAAATAGTGTAGTACTAGAATAGTTGCTCAGCTTACATGAGACTCAGTACCACAAATCAAAACAAAAAACTATAGTCATGCAAATATGTTCATTAAAAACGTGTCTGTGTTATCATTATAGCTAGTGATATAGCTCAGTGGGCCTTATATGAGGGACCTTAGTTCCACTCCTAATTGTAGCATTAAATTAAATCTGGAGCCCGTCTTTGTTTTTGTTGTTTTGTTATTGTTTGAGACAAGGTGTCTGTATAACCCTGCTATCCTAGAACTCTATATGTAGACATGGCTAGTCTTGAACTCATAGAGGGCTGCCTGCCTCTATTTCCTGAGTTCTAGAATTAAAGGCATGTACCATTACACCCCTCTCAAAGGCATGGTTTTTGCTTGGATATTTGTATTGTTGCTATTCATGATTTAAAATATAAATAGGGCTGATGAGGTCACTAAGAAGTGGAGCACTTAGATGTGTGAGGGCTTGGCTTCAATCTCTAGCAAATCAGAGAAAATAATTACATATGGAACTGTATATTTGAGGACCTGAGAATAATACTCACTTCCTAGAGGATGTACTGCTCAGAGGACTGGAGTTTGATTCCTAACACCCACACCAGGTGGCTCCAGAGGAACTTAAACTTCTAGCCTCCTTGGTCACCTACTGCACACATGTTCATATCCCCATTCAGACACACTACACATAATTTTTTAAGTCCAGTTTGAATTCTCCTAAATATCTCTTAGCTCTCAAACAAAACAAAACATGAGTAGTTTTCATGGATTTGTGTATCCTTGTACAGGGCCATGCTAATCCATATCATTCCAAGTTTAGTATATCTGCTGCTGAAGTGAACACTTATTTTTTTAATCAAAAGAATTTATATAATGAGAACTGATGAAAGACAGCAAGATCAAAATAACAGTGAAACCATACAGTTAAATGGGTAGAAATACAAAAGAACAGCAGACTGGCACTTTGAGGACCACTAGATCTTAACTAGAAGTGTTAAGTAGTGAACAGAAGCTTGTTTTGAATGTCCTAAGGTTTTTTATAGAAATCTATTTCACATCCCAGGAGCCGTCCTTCTATGGAACTTGTGCTCTGGAAACCTCTCCCTGAAATCCTTTCTGAGAAGCCAAAGCCATCATCTAACCCTAAGAACTACCTGGGAGAGAGCCAAATGAAGCGTACAGCTGCCGGCACTGCCTTTCCACAGAGAACTGAAGTGTTGCTGGAACCTCGGCACACAGACACGCCACTTTACCATAGTCTGGAGACAGCTGCTAGCACAGAGGAAGAGATGGAACTCTAGAGACCAGTTCTGCTCCAGCTTGGCAAGTTCTAGAAGGCTCCTGTGTTCAGTAATGAGCCTGCCTGTATAGTATAGGGACCTGAAAGTTTTATGAAACGGGTGTAATATCTCCACCTGTGATTTGGGGTGGGTCTTTCATTGTGGGTAGCCATTTATTGAATTCAACTTTTTGCCAAGGAAGCTTATCTCAAGGGAAATGCAGTTTTCTAGCAGGCTTATCCAAGAAATGTTACAGTCTCTTTAAAGACAACCATAGACGCTGGATGTATTATGGTGACTGAAATCATCTGTCACATTGTTGAAGCCATTCATTCTTAAGATGCTTATAAAGAGGAATGCTCCTAATTGCCACTGCAACCTGACAGCTGAGTCATGTATTGAGCTTCTTGTAGTGGTAACTGTACGCATGGGGAATGGGAGGGAAGAAAGCAGTAGTTTGAGTCTCTTGCAAAGGAATTAAACAGGCAAGGAAACCTGTGTTGGCGTCAGGTCCGTGTAGCCATTATTACTCAAGCAGTAGCCTTTGGTCTGCCTAATGACTGATAAGCTCAGTTCGTCAGTGATGTTTACACCTCAGTTAACTTTAAGTAATTGATTAAAAGAGAGTGAGGTAACCCTTCTGTAAATTGCCTGTGAGAGAAGTGTCTTTTCATGAATCCTGAGGACATGCGGGGTCAGCTAAACCCAGCATTGATAGCTTCTAGAGTTTAAAAAGGGAAGGTTGTACTTGTATCAGCAAGTTGAGTTTTTTAATGCTGGTTTTGAAAACAGTGAATTAGCTGAGAATAAACGGGCAGATATCTTAGAGATTTACTGAAATAGCTCATTGTCTGGTGCTTAAGCTATTGTACAGTAAGCCTAAAAGTTAGTGGAAGATGGCCTCCTACCAGCAGGAAATCTTTACCCTTTGAGTACCAGAACCAGGCTCAAGGTGTTCTTTGGGAATAACCAGGGTAAAAGTTTTTAATTTCTCAGGAAGAGCTCTTCAGCATGGCAGGATGTGTAATGAAGGCTTGGCAACTCCTTCAGCACTGTAGAGCAGTCTGTGTAAGATAGCGGGTGAGTGTGGTGGCTCTTCCACAGCAGAGCACCTCAGTTCAGTTTTCACTTTCTGGGTTTCTTCTCCCTTTGTAGGGAAAAAAGAAAAGGTTTATGCCATGTAGAAGTGAATTTTTAGAAACTAGCTTCCAGGCATTTTTGCAGCCCATGCTGAGATCCCTCCCATGGATGGCTTAGGAGGAGTCATAGTCTATTCAGTGGACTGTCTCCTCTTGCCTATTGTTTATGCTCTCTCTGTTTCTGTCTGGATGTCAGGAAAAGTTTTAATGTTTAATATTTAAACAAAATAGTTATGTCTACACAAAAAAATTACTCAAGCTTCAAACCAGTATTGAAACCAGTTGGAAACCAGCTTCTTGTTTCTTCATCTCGGACTCAGAGGTGAAAGAAAACTCTCTTCTGTTGAAATGTGCAAGCGTTTAACTCATGTCATTTGGAAACTCCTGGCTTGTTTAATGGGACCAACTAGTAGAGTTTATAACCTTAAAGAATTCTCTATGCCAGGGAGTTTTAGCACAGTGTAGAAGCATGCAGGGACTGCCCAGAGTTTGGAGTTAGCCAGTGTGAGAATGGGAAGGAAGTGGCAGCTTTCCAAAGGGCACAGAACACCAGGACTGCCTCTTATCAAAGGCCTCAAATGGCTTTGCATTTGGTAACCACTGGAGCGAAGAGGTGGCTTTTAATGAAGAACAGAATTTTTCAGGAGTCCTTATCTGACATGATCTTTATTTCTGCAGGAAAGTGATGTTTCATGCTCCTTTTTGGACTTATCTTCTTGCACATGTTTGTACAAAAGTCATCCCTCTTCATCCTTGTGGTGCTGACTCATCTGACTCTCCACAGCCCTGATGCCTCTGCAGTCTATTTTCTTTTCTAGCATAAGCCTTTTGCTTTGCCTTAAGGTTTTCCTAAAGAATTAACAGGTCTTTCCGTCTTGTATAGTTTTTGAAGCATGGATCAGACATTGGCTCAGTATGCTAATGTGTGGAGGTCAGCAATTCTCTAAAGCAGGTGAGCTTCAATGAACAAATATGTTTCTCTGAGTTTGAGTTGGGGGTGTGTATGGGAGGGTTTTTTTTGTTGTTGTTTTTTTTTTTTGGAGGGGTTCCTGGTTTTTTTGTTTTTTTTTTTTTTTGGAGGGGTTCCTGGTTTTTTTGTTTTTTTGTTTTTGTTCTTAATATGAAGAAATAATAAATATGAGAATCTAGTTCTCATAATTTAAATCAGTTAAACACTGCTCATTCTTGAAAAAAATAAAAATGTAAAATTTAGAAACAAGTAGAACAGGACTAAGAATAACTTGCAGGAGGAACATTAACTAGCAGGTCCATTTGCTACTCTGGATCTGGACCCTAACTTTAATAGTGACAAGAATGGTACAGAACTAAGAACATTCTGGCAGATGGTGTCAATTTTACTTTTACTTTAAAAATGAGAATCTGGTTTTTCTGTATTTTATTATTTTCAATAAAAGTCAAGTGTTTTCAACTGTTTAAAGTATCTGTAATCCTGTACATATGGAAATGAAATATTTTTTTCTTGCTTTCCCTTAAATTTTAATTAAGGCAGTATTCCTATCAGTGAAAAACTTGCATTTGTCCTGAAATTTGATACTGTTGGGTTAAAAACAGGTTGTTTTGCCTTTGTTAATGTGCCAACGGCCTGCGTCTGCCTGAGTGCTGCCCCCTGTGACTGATCCTTCAGTGTTCATATGTGGAGTTGGAGGGGCTTGCTTGGAACCTTTAGAGATAGAGAGTAGTCAAAGTCTGTGCTGTTGGTGCATGTTGTTCCTTTGCTAAGAGCTGACAGGTCACTGGGTGGCAATATTGCCTGCATATTTGCAATATTCTTTGGTAATCAGATCTCTGAATGGTGAGGCACGGAGTTGTTTGGGTTTCAGTTGCAGAAAACAAGATGCTCTTTTATTTTAACCGAATTTTGAAAACCATGGTAAAAGTTAGCTAACATAACAGGTTGGAAATAAAGATTAGAATAGATGGTGACAGTTTGGTATCAACCAACTCATTAGATCCAGGGTTTGAGTACAAGATGAATAGATACTCAAAGAAATGTAAGTTAGTGTGTATTGGTTTGGCTCTCTGTTAGTCCCCTAGTTCCTCAGACTAGCAGTGGTATTTTAGAAATGCATTTTGAACATTGCTGAAACTCAAACTCCTGCAAGAGGCTGCTGGTGTTGACTTTTCAGCATTGGTGTGGTGGGTAAGCCAGTCATCCTACTTCATGAATGATAGAAGTCAGGAGGGTTGCTAGAGAAGGGAGAGTCATTTCTTCAGTGGTGTAGCCACTGGTAAGTTGCCTATGCTACAGTAAACCACTACTACCTACCCATGCTCAGTGGGAGGGAGATGAAGATAATGGGGTGAATATGATTAAAACACATAAATAGGAGATTGTCGAACTTTTTTTTAAAACATTTCATTTATTATGTATACAAGTCTGCTTCCGTGTATATCTGCACACCAGAAGAGGGCACCAGATCTCATAACGGATGGTTGTGAGCCACCATGTGGTTGCTGGGAATTGAACTCAGGACCTCTGGAAGAGCAGCCAGTGTCCTTAGCCTTTGAACCATCTCTTCAGCCCCAAAGAACAAAATTTTTTAAGTCAAAAAGGTAAAACATGTAATTCCAGCATTTGGGGAGGTGGATGAAGGAAGATGGAAGATTCCTAAAGTCAGAATCATGTGTGCTCCATATTGAGTTTGAGCTCAGCCTGGGCTGCATGAGAACCTATCTCAAACAAATAGGGTCTGGAGGGAATGGGTCAGCCAATAAGGTGCTTGACTTGCAAATAGGATGAACTGAGTTCAAATCTCTGACACTCATTTTAAAGGGGTGGGAGTGCATATCTGTCATCCCAGCACTTGGGAAGGAAGGCAGAGATAGGAGGATCCCTGGGGCCTGTTGGCCAATCAGTTAACCTGAATTTGTGAGCTCCAGGTTCAGTTTGAGATCTTGTCCTGTTTTTGTTTTTGTTTTGTTTTTCGAGACAGGGTTTCTCTGTGTAGATTTGGAGGAGATCTTGTCTTAAAAAATAAAGTGGATACTGATTGCACCAGACAACTGATATTGACCTCTGGCCCAACACATGTACCCATAGGAATGCATACCTATACATGGACATTCATACAAAAATATAGATATCTCTAAAGTCAGAAGAGTAAAGATTTTAAGTTCTAGCCTAGGAGACAGAAATTGAACTGATACTTTGAAATACTCCTGATGTAGGCCATACATCTGTTGTTTAGCTCCATCTCATCAAATAGAAAAGCAAGGAAGCAGATGCATAGCTGTTTTGTGAGGCCCAGGAATTTGCCTGCAGCCATCACTTGCACCTTTGGTCTGAATTTCAGCATAACACTACATTTAATAGAGTATTTGATTTCATAGAAAGATTGTTAATTTTTAGATCTAGCCAGTTTGGTGTTTCAGTATGAAAATGTCCTTGAAAACCAGGTGTTTTCTCAAGGCTGATGTCATTTTTGGCTGGCTGTGAAGGAAATGAAACGTTGAAATCTTCACTCTGTACTGTCCTGTTGGCACAGCAGCAACTATTAAATATAAATGACTTGAGTCTTTTTTTTTTTTTTTAAGTTTTTCGAGACAGGGTTTCTCTGTATTGTTTTGGAGGCTGTCCTGGAACTTGCACTGTAGACCATGCTGGCCTCGAACTCAGAGTTCCACCTACCTCTGCCTCCTGAGTGCTGGGATTAAAGGCATGAGCCACCAACGCCCGGCTATGACTTGAGTCTTAATCTACAAATACTTGTGCTCTTCTGGATGGAGGCAAGCATATCTGTCAGTGTAAACCTTAGAGTCTTGGTTCTCCAGAGTGAAGAAGGTGAGATAGTTTTCAGTTACAGGCAACTGTAGGTAGTCCTTATGTTCACAACACTGGCACTCAGCCTAAGCAAGCTTATGTTGCTAAGCACTGGTTTGGGCTGTGACAGACTTACCAGCTAGGTCCTATCCAGACTTGCCCTCAAATATTATGTGAAAACCCCTCCTGTCATAGCAGTCAACACATGATCTGTATTTGTCTGCAACTGTAGCCTACTTGAGCCTGCTGACTGGACTCAGAATTCTTCCTTCTATCTGTGGGTTTACTTTGATCACCCCAAAGTAATCTTAATAGGGAAGATAAATGTTAATTGGGGGTGGTAAAATGAATCCATCTGCTTATATGGGTAAAATGAAGTTCTTTGCCATCTTTTTAAGATTCCCCAGACCAGAATGCACGGTAAAGGATGATGTCATTGTCTCTGCAGTTTGGTAATTGGTTTATACCCCTAGGTCTTTCCTTCCTGAACAGATTTGCTCATTTGTTTTGGTTCTAGGGATGGAACCAAGGCCTCGTGCATGCTAGACAAGCACTGTACTAAGCCATACCCCCAACCCAGTCTTGTGAAATAAGCCCCTATACTAAGATTCCATGAGGGAATAAAACCTTTCAAAGTGGATCATCAGACAAAACTGAACTCCCAGTGCATTGGATGACACCTGTCAGATGTGAATTGCATGTAACAGAAGTCTTGTTCAGTCTTTATAGATACCACTGTCCCTCTTTCCAAGTTGTAATTTTATGTCCCCCTGGGTTACTCAGGTGAATTGTGTTAAGAGTTGAAACCAGAGAGTCTGGTACTCCCTGATCAGGGCAAATCTTGATATTTGATGGCAAAGCAGTAGTTAAGGAGACCCAACTGTAGCTCAGTGGTATAACACTTGCCCAGCATACAGAGATCTTAGGTTTAATAACCCAGTACTGCCTGCCCACCTACTACCACTACCAAAAAAGATGATGGTTAGGGTTCTACTTCTGTCACTTAGTAGCTGTGACATTGATCAACTGGACTGAAGAAATTGCCTCAAAATAAGATGGAGGTATTTATGACAGGAGTTGAAGCAGGTAGTAATAAGTATGAAACCTTTCAGCCAGGCGTTGGTGGTGCAAACCTTTAATCCCAACACTCGGGAGGCAGAGGCAGGCGGATCTCTGTGAGTTCCAAGGCCAGCCTGGTCTCCAGAGCGAGTGCCAGGATAGGCTCCAAAGCAACAGAGAAACCCTGCCTCGAAAAACCAAAAAGGGAAAAAAAAATTTTTCAATGACTTTAAAAAGTGTTATGGCCATGTGGTGGTGGCACATGCCTTTAATCCCAGCACTTGAGAGGCAGAGGCAGGTGGATCTCTTGAGGTCGAGGCCAGCCTGGTCTACAAAGCTACACAGAGAAACCCTGTCTCGAAAAAGCAATAAATAATAATAATAATAATAATAAAAAGTGCTATGCTCACTTTAGTTGGATAACCCTCCCCTAGCAAACAATGAAGAGAAAATACAGGAGCCCTAGAAATCACAGAACAAGGCTGCTGCGTTGCTTTTTTTAATTGCATGGGTAGTTTTAAATAAATGGAGAAAGCACCTTCCAGAAGTTACACTAGCAAGAAGGTTCCCTCAAGGATTTACATAGTAAATTTCTATAATTTTACAAAGATTCTTGATCCTTCACTTGAACTGTACACAAGGATAAACAAGCTCCTTCAGGTTGGTGTTTGTCTGCTTGTAGAACTAAACTAAAACCGGGGAAGCTGGGGGGGGGGGGGGGGGAATGAACAAAGGCCAATCACAAACCCCATGTCCACTTCAGGACATGTCAGGAGGCAGGTGTGGAGGTGCACGCCTGTGTGAGATGGAAACAGGAAGGTCAAGAGTTCCAGCCTAGCCTCAGCTACATAATTTAAAGCCAACCTGGGAAATAACTGTCAAATGACCCTCCTTGTATTGTAGGGGAAACTACCACCTTTAAGTTCAAACAATCTCAAAAGCTGTAGTCCTGAATTACAGTATTTTTGAATACCTTAGATGGCTGGATGTCAAAAGATAATACTTGGAAGCCAGATAAGAGGTTTAAAAGAATACTTCAGAGGAATCTTCCTCTGCTATCCTCTAGGCAGTGTAATGGTCAAGGAAAAGGCCCAGTGTTGGGTAGCTCTTTAGACACTAATTAGCTGGGGAAAGAGTTCATTGGCAAAAGTGTCCTCCCAAGAATGGTCTATACCAAGTGGAGAAGACATGTCACTGAAGGGAGAAGGGGAGCCCTCATATCCACAGTCACTATAAGCATCCAGCAGGCAGGAAGATGGTTTCAGACAGTGGCTGGATGAAAGCAGGTTTGAGATGCCCGGCTCTGGAATGAAGTCTTCTTCCAAAGGTTCTTTCTTCACTGAGACAATGAATTCAGGGTGATCCTCCTCTGAAGAGCTGAGAGGTGCTTCCTCAATTTTCACTACCACATTAGTTTGACTCTCTGTCTCAGAAGGGATCTCTAAGACTAGAGGCTTGGTGTATACATGGTCAAAGCGAATGAGTTCATTAATGGCTTCCAGCTTGGCTGATGAGGTCCCCACTGACAGAGAAAGGGAGGCTGGTAAGGAACTAGGTCCTGGGTAGACCTCTGGGAGTTCCTCCAGATTGGCAGACTCTGGGGATGGACATTTGAAAAACATGACAGGGTCCAACTTGTCCAGAATGCCCAAAAGGATATCAGACTGCAAGAGGTAAGACAAAAAAAGTTCACTATTAGAATGTGATGGTCTACCAGAAACACTTAGTACTGAGTTCCACAATGTCAGTTAGGCCTTATGCTGTCAGATCGAAGGACACACCCATCAGAACAGCTTCTCCCGACTCCATGACCTAAACCACTGGAAATTAAGAAAGTGACTGCTTACCCCTAACCCTACCAATACTAACTTCTTTCTCCATTTGCCTGGCTAGGCATGTCACACATCATATATATACTACAGAATGAGCCAATCTTACACAGTGCTTTAGTAAGGCAAACAAGCTCTACCTCGGAGTCTGAAGAGTCAACAGTGTCAGAATCCATGGGAAGATGTTCTGGGGAGGTGACAACTGGGCCTGCACCTGCTGCAGAGGTGCACGTAGTCTGAGTGCTGCGGACTCAGCAGACCCGGCCACCGGCCTTACTCCATTTCCCTGGAAGGAAAGACCAAAGTGAGGGAACACTCCAAGGAAATGCACACCAGGCTATGGGAGGTGGCTCAGAGCATAAGCCTGCTTGTTAGGCAAGCATCAATGTAAAATTTGGAGCATGACAGTTGTGCCTGTATAACCCCAACACTGAGGGAGACAGAGACAAGAGGATCACCAGGATTTGCTAGCCACCAGCCTAGCTCCAGATTTAGTAAGATACTCATGTACACAAACACCATGCCTACATAACTCCGCCAGATAAAGTAGTATGTGCCCGTATCTTAACACTTGGAAAGCAGAGACAGAATTATCAGCTAACATATCAAGTTTAAGACCAACCTAGGCCACATGAGGGCTGTCAAAAGTCCAGGAAACAAGCCAATTGTAGTGCCTAAAATCCCAGCACCTGGGAGGCTATGGCCAGAGGATGAGTCCAAAGCCAACCTGGGTTAATTATATACAGAGACTCTGTCTCAAAACAAGATCAAAATCTCCCAAATCTGACTAGCCCTTACAGTCTCATTCTATTTGATGCCTGCATGGTATAGCTTGCTGGCTACTGGTGTTAGCACTTATTCTGAGAGAGCTATGTAAATTATTAGGATTATTAGGGCTTAGTAACACTTCATTACACACTTGAAGAATGAGTCACTGAAGACTGAACAGGTCTGTTGGAAATGTGGAGAAATTTTCAAGACTGATCAGCTAGGCATGGTGGCACATGTCTAGTTCCATTACTTTGGAGGCAGAGGCCATAAAACTGATACAATTTCAAGACCATCCAAAATTAAGAAATTAAGACCCTGTCTCAAAAGAAGGAAAAGAGAAAAGGAAGGCTTGATAGAGGTTGGGATCACAAATACAATCCGTTCATGTCACAACCAAGTCTCATAAGATTTACCTTGGACTCCGTCTCTGGAGCCTCTTCAGTAGTCAGCACATCCATTCCCAAGCGAGTTCTTAACTCCTGGTTCTCAATTACAAGGCCATGAGTTTTCTCTCTCAAAAGCTGATTTTCTAACAGAAGTTTTTGGTTCTGTAAGAAAATCCAGAAGAGGCTATTAAAACGTGATTTGTTACAGTTGGTTTCCTCATTGAACTGATAAATTCTGTGCATATGCAGTCGTTCATAACTGTTGCAACACTGGTGGCTAATGGTGTAGATCAGTTGGTAAGAGTGCTTGCCCTACTACACATGAAGCCCTGGGTTCAGCCTCCAGCTCTACATAAAACTAGCATGGGTGGCTCATGCCTGTAACACCAGCAATTGGGAGACACCAATGAAACAGATGAAAATATGGTACATGTGCACAGAAGAATGTTACTCGGCTATAAAGAAAATAGAAGTTGGCAGGAAGATGTGTAGATTTGTTAAATATTTTAAGTGAGGTGGCCCAAACAGAACCAAGAGTTTCTTGCATATGTAGACCTTACTGTGTGTGAGAGTGTGAATGCATATGAATGGATGTAAATGTGTGTAAGGCCTTAAAAAACAACTAGAAGTCCAAGAGAAGGTAAAAGGATACTGGGGGTGTAGGGAAAATGGCAGGAAGAATCAATTAACTAAAACACGCTGTTTGAAAATGTCCTAATACTCTGTATGCTGAGTATAAAAACAAAGTGGGAATGGTGGGCTATACCTAACAAAATATTTTTTTTAAACTGCTACTGATATGACCCACATTTCTTCTAAGAACCAGCTGATGATTAAAACTTTTAAAACAATAGCCCTTGCTCAGATTAGATAACAAGAGAACCCTAGAAGGAAGGCAATTCTAGTGAGCCTTTGGCAAGAGCAAGAGTACTGAAGGTTAAGCCAGGATCTATCTGACCTGGCTAATCTCTGAGCAACTTCTATCGATAGTATCTAGCTGTCAGGAGTGAGTCATGTCTGCCTTCACCACCTATCTGCTAAGCTAGTTAAACTTTAAATGGCACTTTAGTTGTATTCTAAAGGGCTGCAGCAGCTTAGAATGGGCAGAGAAGAAAGCATGGCCTTAAATCCCTTTACCTCTTCTTCCAAATCCACCACTTGCTGTTCCAGCTCGCTCATCCGGGCTTTCTTTCGATCTCGGGCAGTCTGCGCTGCTACTCTGTTTTTCAGTTTCCTGAAGGAAGACAGGGCACATAACGAACCGAGTCATCTTCAGCTTTCCTGTATCTTCATTTGTAAATGTGGCCAGCTGGTGCTTTCGCTGACTTTACAGAATAAGACTAAACAGTGGTAAACACATTCTGAGGCTCCTCCTCTCAAAAAGACAAAAACCACAGCTTTTCTGCCCGTGGGCCTTGAAGACTTGCTCGATTCTCTCCCATGTTGCTGTCCACTCGAGTCTTATTTTACCACCGGGCTGACACACATTCCCGTTGCGTCATAAGCATCTTCCCTCCTCCCCCGCGGCTTTCTAGTTCCGATTCTGTCCAACAGGCTCCGTGAAGGCGGCGGGGGCGCTACCAACCGTCCCTCCCCAAGCTCAACTCGGGCTGCCGGAGGATGGTGACTCGGATCCCAGTGTTAAGTTCCCAAGCGGCTGCAACAACAGCCAGAGCGGACCCTGCCATGGGTCCTCCAAGAAGAGCAAGCATTCACAGAGGGCTGAGCGTCAGGTCCCGTCTGACAAGTGTTAGACTCCCCGACACAGACTAAGCAGACCTTCGGAGGGGCTGTCACCTCAGCTCCGTGCCTCCCTCCAGAAATAGGTACTAGAGGCTCATCTACGCCACCCCACAGAGCCCTCCCGACCGCCACACGAGAAAGGGTCCCATGCCCGGCCTTGCCGCCCCGCCCGCCGAGCCCACCTCCGCAGCGCCTTCTCCTCCGGGCTCAGGTGCGTGAGGCGCTGCCGCTTGCGAGCCTGTGGCGCCCCGTTCGCCTCGGACCCTGCTGCCCGCGAGCCTGGAACCATGAGTGGCAGCGCCCGGCCGTCCGCGGCGGGCTGGCCCGATAGAAGCAGTACTTTCGGGGCCGCCGTGGCCGCGCTCGGCGACGCTGCCACCACCACCATGGTCAGGAAGTGTCTACGCCAGCGCAGCCACCTCCCCGTGGCCGCTCGCCGCGCCCAGCCTTTCTAGGGTCGTGGCCGTCTGCGATAGGCCCGCTCCGCGTGACGCACGGTTATTCTCAGTGCCTATTGGTCCTACGGGCTAGAGGGCGGGCCCAGCGCGGGAGGGGTGGGTGTCCAGCGTGGCTGCACAGCTGTCCTCCGCCTGGCGAGCTGGGCCTGAGGGCGAGTGGACAGCAGAGAGGGGTTGCTGGAGGCCCGGGTCTTCCACAAACGCGTTCCCACTCCCTGACGCTGGGAATGCCCGGCTTTTCTCGCTAGCCAGACTTCCAGACTGAGTCTCACAGATCTTTACCCCAGCCTGACCACATTGTAATGTCCGGGACCACGTCGGCCCCCAGAGCAGCGGAAAATCGAACCGGTGGCATATCCGGCTTGGAGTTAGCGGACAC